TTTGCACTCTTATCTACATTTAATCCCTTTATTTACATACCAGGTGTAATCCCTTTCCAGGTTTGATAAACAACATCATGTGATTAAAGCATGTGATTTGAAAGCATGCAGTAATGTATTAATGATGTTGTGATTGGAAATCATTTTATTATTATTTTATTTGAATGTTTTATTTGATGTATAAATCATAAAATAATTGTTTTAAATCGAGTTTTAAACTGATATTTTGACCAAAAACATTGGAAATTGTGATATGTTTTAAGTGTATGAATGGTGTTGTGATTGGAAAGCATTTTATCACTTATTTTACAAGAATTCAAATCAATTGAATTGCAATTCATTGACAAATTCACTGCATTTTCCCTTTCAATACCAAAACACAAAATATTATTTTTATTAATTGTTAATTATTATGAGTTTTTTTTAAATAATAGTGAGTTTTTAAAGTTTACAAGCAGTCAAAATAATCCATTATTAAGTGCTTTCAAATGATTATAAATACTCGCCACTCACTAATTCTTCTTGCGAGAGATCTTCTCCAGGCTTAACAATATGTTAACTGATTTAAGATTAAGAATGACTCCATCTAATATTCAAAAATATTTATTTGTAAATTATAACCAATTTCTATAACCATAATTAATAAAATTGAATTGTCCAAAAATTTGNTTTGTAAATTATAACCAATTTCTATAACCATAATTAATAAAATTGAATTGTCCAAAAATTTGTTTTACACCGTGTATACATTTTCTACTTTTTGAATTATTAATCATTGCGCTGAGTTCTGTGCCTGTTCATAACCCTTTATGATTACATTAAAAACGATGTTTATTATAAATTGATACTAATTTGAATAATTTTTATGTTATGCGATTGGAGTGGAATTTAGTTTTTTTCTGTAACTATTTAAAATTTACAAAATATTTTACATATACATTACAAATAGGCTATATTGGAGGTTGATTAAAATATTTCCTATTAAGTCATCCCATGTACAATAGTTAAGAATAATATTATTATAATTACTGTATTAACTTATTATATATTTATAATTATTAATATTAATATATATTTAAATATTTATTATATATAATTGAATACTAGTCTACTAAAGTTACTTATAACAAATTCCAATACTACTTAATCACAAAATTGCAATTAGTTTTCAAGAATTCATTAAAATACAGTATTTATCAACTTTACAACAAATTTTCCAAGTAAAGTAACAAGTGACTATTTTACCAAATCAAACTTTCTGATGCATTTCAATCGGATTCTTGATATTGAAAGAAATTCACATTTCAATTTCAATCAATTTATCAGTTTTTGGTCAAATATTCATGTTTAAAGTCAATGACTATTTATTTTGTTTATTGCTAATCAGTGAATACTAATTTCAAATTAATTTACTGATAAATGCTAATCAATTGATTCAATTCTAAATATTTTGCTTAAATAATTTCAATATCACTTATTACGGTTAATATAAACTTTGCATTTATTTAAATATTTACAAAATGACAATTGCATAAGAAAAAACCTTAAAATAAAGTCTATAACAATAAGTCATCTAAATATCTGTCAAACTCATCATCAATGGGTTGGTCAGTATCGGGGATGACCTGTGGTTTGGTCCAAATCTCATTCGCACCACTCGTCTCATTGACATCCAAAACACTCTTTACAGAAGAACTAACTTCTGGTTCATGGGATGTACTGACAGCGACTTCACTGTCATTAGTGATGGTATCATCGGTTTTACTCTTTTTGTGTGACTTCTTAAGTCTTTGAATTTCTCTGCGTTTGTGTCTATAATTGAGTTTTGGTGAACAGTCGGCACACAAACGGAGTTTCACTAAAGCGCTCTTCTGTTCACCCAATTCTCGGTATTTAAACAAAACTTCCCAACTCTTGAGGCCATCCCTATTGTCGCAGTGTTTGCCACCGCAGGAGAACTGTCCCCTCCCTTCCATCACCTCCTTCTCAGTCCTCCATCTCATC